TAACAGCCACTTTTCAGATGTTTTTTCAGTAAATTAACTTGATGTGCACGACTTCAGTATCTACTGTACATGTACACTTTGTCATGTGGAACTGCATAGTGTGTACTTTAAAAATACAAGGTCAGCTTATGCAGTATCTACAAGTGTGTCTCCATTCACTAACTGCCCCTCCTCTTCCACCCTTGTTGTTGCTAGTACTCTGCTGGCAGATGAGAAGAGGAGGCTGGAGGCTCGTATCACCCAGCTGGAGGAGGAGATGGAGGAAGAGCATCTCAACACAGAGATGGTCAACGATCGCCTGAAGAGAACCACGCTGCAGGTAAGGACGCACTCCCATATGTTGATCCTAGCAGCTGACAATTTTACGTTTTGTGTGCAAGTAGGAGAAAGGTAGGAGGTAAGAAAGTAATGTTTTATATTTCTGGCATCAGTGATAACATCTAATTTGGAATAAACAGAGGACTGTAGTTAGTTGGAGCAGCGACAAAAAAAATATTGTCAGGTGAAAGGTTGAAGTGAAGTAAAAACACTGCAACCAAGAAGAAGAAAATGTGAAACATCCAGGGCAACTGAGATCACTACTTTAGGATATGCTTTACTTGAACAAGGTCTCTCCACTGTGTTTCTGACATCAGGCTGAGCAGTTGACCACAGAGCTGGCTGCAGAGCGCAGCTCCTCCCAGCGGCTGGAGGGGGCTCGTTCCCAGCTGGATCGCCAGAACAAGGAGCTGAAGCTGAAGCTGCAGGAGCTCGAGGGGGCCATCAAGTCCAAGTACAAGTCCTCCGTTACCACCCTGGAGGCCAAGATCACTCAGCTGGAGGAACAGCTCGACATAGAGTCAAAGTGAGTGACACTTTGATAACAGTCTGTAAAAACACTATTTGGGTGGTGTTTCAAAGCAAACAAGAACTTGACCATGACCAGTCCTTTTCTTCTTTTTTTTTTACAAATCCCCAGATCCTAAAAGTTTCAGTAATAATGTTTGTGTGTTCCCGATTCAGTAATTATATATTTTATAAAGATTTCTACATTTTTCTCGTACTTCAGCAGCTTTTTGTACTTTCACAGTCTCAACACTGTGGACTGATTCCTTGCTTCATATTCTACTCATTTCAGGGAGCGTCAGCAGGCCTCCAGGCTGGCCAAGCGGACAGAGAAGAAGCTGAAAGAGGTCATGGTGCAGGTTGACGACGAGAGGCGCAACACAGAGCAATTCAAAGATCAGGTAAGCCTCATCACTAATCTTTTTTACTTTAATTTCCAGGTTATTAAAAGGAGAGAGAGGAGTCTTGTTGTGTAGTTTGATCCTGACTTGAATCCTTGCTGATCTGCTTGTATTGTTTTTGGCACTAATTGAACCCTCTCTTTGCAGGTGGAGAAGACCAACACCCGAATGCGTCAGCTGAAGCGTCAGTTAGAGGAGGCAGAGGGGAGGTGACACGAGCCAACGCCTACCGCAGGAAGCTGCAGAGGGAGCTGGATGATGCCACTGAGTCAGCAGACGTTATGAACCGTGAAGTTAGCACTCTGAAGAGCAAGCTCAGGTAGAGGCTTCTACACTTATTTATCCAGAGGGTCTGTCTCTGAGTGCATAACAGGTTACATTTCACAACTGAGAGTAGAGTATTTAATAAGTTAAAGGGGAACTACATGCAGATCAGTTTCAAGTCTGTGAAATGTGTTGCATAATGTCCTCTGTGGCCTTGAAGGAGCTCTGCAAAGTCTGATAATAACCGGAGTGATGCAAGGGGTGTGTGTGTGTGTGTGTGTGTGTGTGTGTGTGTGTGTGTGTGTGTGTGTGTGTGTGTGTGTGTGTGTGTGTGTTGTGTGTGTGTGTGGTGTGTGTGTGTGGTGTGTGTGTGTGTGTGTGTGTGTGTGTGTGTGTGTGTGTGTGTGTGTGTGTGTGTGTGTGTGTGTGTGTGTGTGTGGGGAATAAAAATAATTCTGCTGCATCGATTTTGATACTACTTTAACAAACTGTCCATCTCGAGTCCAACAATGTTAGAGCAGTGCAATGCTTAAGGAAGGTTTTTGGATTCTGACCTGTTCTGGGTGTTTAAATATCAGAATATCTTGACTGCTCAGTGAAGTCCCCAAACTTTAGGGATTTTGATTATACACATATACAAGTATAGTCTTTAATGTATGGTATTCATTAATATTGTATGACTCATCTTTCCTACTTTTTTTTAACCATTGTGTTTGTTTAAAGGCGTGGGGACTTGCCTTTCAATATGCGGCGTACCGTGAATCGCACTGGCCTGGACAGTGATGAGGACATGGAAGGGCAACACGAGGCATCTGAGCCATCAGCTGAGTGAACGGAGGAGAGCCAAGAGGGAAATATTATAGTGACCACAGTCCACATGCAGATATCGTAAAACATTAGCCAGCAAGCTATAAGGAAGACTTTTAAGAGGAGGATTTAGCCTTGTATTCCCTTTAATCATCTTATAGCCTTACTGTAACATTCCATATAAGACATTTTATATTTGGCCAAATAATCGAATTCATCTCAGTAAATCTGAGTGGTGTTTTTCTACAAAGGCTACACGCATACTTGTCTTTTTTTCTACTAAATGGGTATATTATATCACACATTTCTCTTCTAACAAGCCATTACAATTTCATTTTATTTGTGCTTGAGGTTTACATGCTTTTACTGTACCATTTGGGGGAAACACTGGACATTATGCTTGTTTTGCACACAAATAAGGGTCTGGTTTTTTTTGGGGGGGGGGGGGGCAGATTTTGATGCAGTTTCACATTTGCTAGTGTCAGTAAAAATATGTGCATCTGTACTGTATGCTTTCCCTCTCACTGTGTTATCCTGTCCTGTTATTACCTCAACCAATTTTGCACAATGCCTACACAGACACGAGAATGGAAATTGTTCAGTTCATCAGTGGTGGTATGATTTGAAATTCAGCAATGTTGGTGCACATTTTGAACAATCATCTATGATGGCTTGGTTGACTTATTGTTTCTCTGGTTTTACACATTGATTGTTGGTGGTGGGTCATGTATTAGCTCTCAAGTTACTATGTTGTGTGCTATGCTTTGCACAGTGAGGGGGATGCTGTTAGCACATTAGCCTCCAAATGTTTCACTAGTTGAGTCCTGCATATTTTAGATTAGGTATGATACCCTACCAATGTATTATCAAACAAATTGATGCCAATATTTGAAGACTATTCTATATTTTAATCAAATGCCTTAATGCAATAAATTGAGCAAATATCAAATGCATTTAACGTCCTTGTCTCTTGTGTGAATTAACCCAATTTGTGGGCTTAAAGGTAGGTTTATATTTTTCAAGTCTGTATTAAAACAATCATCACATGCCAATACGTGCATGAAACAGTTTTTGGCCATAGTTATCATTCCTCCTGTTCATATGGCTGTGAAAAGAACACACCATTTTAAATGCTGTGTGATTGAGGACAAAGTCCAGTCTTTCTGTGCAAAAAATCTAAAAATGAGTATCTTCCAAAGTTGGTCTTTTTAGTACAAAATTCCCTGTTTGTCTTGTACATTGCTTTTCAAAATAACCCTGTGTGAATGAGTGCATTATTCTGAGGAACAACCCATAATGGCTTTAAAAAAAGACACTATAGGCAAGTTTCATTCAAGTTCTGACAAGCTTCTACATGGTACAACAAATATGTCTGGGGGAAACTCATAACTTTACATTTAATGAGGATGCTGAAGTGAGGGAGAGCTGAAACTCAATGCCACATGAATTCATCAAGTCTCAGCAAGAATCCCATTGTCCTGCACATTCAACTGTACCCAGTCATTCCTTGATAGTAGTAGTATAAATATCATACCTTCTTTGCCAAATGTTTGTATTAGTAACTACAGAGTAAGGCGACAGATACTCAAATCAGCTGGTCACAGTGCAAATATATATATATATACACTCAGTACTACGTTGCACTTCTGTAGGTTTTGTAGACTTTTTTTTTAATAGTGTTATGGAAGTTTACACTGGTTAAATTGTGATAGGAGCTTTTGTCTCAGTTTGAACAGTCTCAGTAGATGTAGATGCGTCTCAGCAGTTTTAGGTAATCTGACAGTTGATTTATGCTCCTACAGATTACCCACTGATAGGATGACTACATATTTGTAATTCAAATAGGTTTCCAATCATTAAATTTACTATTTATTTATTTAAAAGGGACAGGGCACATTAATAAACATTTCAGTGTAAATATGCCTGATTTAGAAGAAGACGAATTTTCATCTGAAATTTCATCATTTTATTTTCATCTCCCTGGCAGGAGACATTACAGAGGTCAATATAACAAAGGTGCAATACAGCACAATAAAATCACATATACACATATATATTTTCTTTGTAAAGTGCATGTAAATCTGTTGTAAAGTGTTGTGAGAAGTAAGTTTTGCTAAGACAATTGAACCGTCATCTCGTTATACAACCCTGTGCTGTAAAATGATAAATCTACCTTTCAGAATCAGAAAGAGCTTTATTGCCAGATAGTATTTTACATGCACGAAGAATTTGCTATGGTGATTAGGTGCTAGGCATGGACATATACATACAGTTGACATAAATAGATTAAAAAATATATAAAATATGGAATAAACAGATGCAAGTTATAAAATAATTATGTGAATGAAGTAAGCTTAAAAACAATGTGGTAGTTATTTACATGTGGAAAAACCCCAAGCATCAACTAAATCATACTTCTCACGACTGACACACGGAGCAACAGCGACATCTTGAGGCCACTATTAGAAAATGCACTGAACTGCATTGTACACACGTGCCTGCTTAAGCAATTCTAACTGAAACAGTAGAATATGAACTCTGTAATCTAGATATATTTGTGCTTTTTATTGCAGATCTCGCACACTGACTGCATTTTGATCGCTGACCAAACGTACACGTGGTTCTCTTGTGAAGTGTAGTGATGTGTGTGTCCATGGTGTCGACGCTGCCCTGGAGGTGAACACACAGCTAGCCACATGCTAACACAGTCGCAGCAGCAAGTGGCGATAACATCAGTCAGTGTTGCACGACACGTGACACTGCGGTTAAAATATTCTTTGGGGGAAAAAAGGCGTTTTGGGACACCAGCCACAGCAGGACATTAACAGCGTTAACGTTACATATTATACTGCAGAAGAGACTAACGTAAAGTTAAGAAACTAAACTTGGAATGAGCTACGTTAGCTAGTTGACGAGCATTGCCAGAACGTTCTGGCAATAAGTGTTTGCTAACTACTGTAATTGTGTCTGACTCGTATTGTGACAAATCACAATAAATATACAACATGGCGTTCCTGAAGCTGGTGGTAAGGATGACCCTCGCCTCCATCAGTCCTTAACGTACTACAGTCAGGGAAGAGGAGCTAGCATGCTAAGTTAGCCTGAAACAGTGGTAACCTAACGTTAGTTTATCACGCTGTGTGGCGATTGGGTGATCCTTTCCAAAACAAACTGTCATACCTGTAAGGTAAGGTTTTACGGTGTTTGCCTTTGAAGTAGCGCTTTGTGTTGTAACCAGACAGTCGCTATATATCCGAGTTCGACGCAGTGTCCTGATGTCATTCTACCTTTACATTAGCATACTCTGACAGCACTAGCTAACCTAGCTTGCTGCTACCGGCATCTTAGAAACTTTGCAAACGACCTTAATGTTTTGAAATGTGACTCATGGCTGCCATGTTATTTCCCCACTTTCAGTAACGTTGGATCGGAACCATCTTCAAAACGGCATCAGCAGGGGAGAAACTGGACTCATCCGGCTCAGCATCCAGGTCAAAGATGGAGTTAGCAGCGGTGAGTGCACCTGCTGGCTGCTGCCACTGTTTGTTATGGTTATCGCACAGCCAGTGTACTGAATCTGTCAGAGGAGATTAATTGTATTTTATCAGCAAACATTTTCCCATACAAATAAAACAGTTGAGACTGTTCCTGGTGATCAACCAAATTGTAATACTGTTTGTGTATGTGTGACGTAACAGTAATATTCTGCACTTATTCACCATTAAGTTAACTATTTGTCTGTCAAAGCTACCAGTCCAACTTGATGGCACAGCAGTTTAAGCTACACGTGGGCAATACTGACAATACCGCAATGTGTGCCATTTTATATCATTATGTCAATATATATATTAAAATATATTAATTGTGATGTGGAGGGCATAACAGAGAAATGTTGATTTTTCTCTTGCTCTGGCTGAATGGTTGACCCAGGCGCTGGTGTCAAAGTTTGATTTTGGTAATTTTGATAGGATATTTTGGAATTGTGTTTTCTTGTTACCACACAGGGATACACGAATGCACACACAGCCACTTTGTGACTCATGCCGTTTGACAAAGATGCAATTTAGCAGTGAGCTTTGCGGTGGGGGGAGAGCATGAAACACAGATGTGTGAGTGTGTCTCTGAAAGATAAAGATGGAAGCCCATAGAAAAACGAAAGACTGGATTAAGCTTTTGCCTTGGTTGTGAAAGTTGGGGGAGGGAGGACGAGAGCAGGAGAAAGCCACTGTGGGTTGGCGAGAGAGCGAGGGAAGGAAGTAGAGAGAGGAGAGGAAGGTGAGAGATGGAGGTTTATTTTATAATATGCTACTTGTAATAGCAGCATCACGGAGAGAGGTTAGTGAAAGAGGGCAAAATGCAGGAAAAACATGATTCTCAGAGCCGAGCCCCGGGCAGCCTGGGGGAAGGTAAGAGTGTGTGTTTGTGTCACGTGTGTCACGTGTGTCACGTGTGTGTGTGTGTGTGTGTGTGTGTGTGTGGCAAGTACATATACTATGTATTAAATGTTGCATGTCTAGCAGACAGCTCACGTATAGTGTCGTCATTTTATTTTGTGGTGGTTGTGGTTGTTGTTATTGCCACATGATGAGCCTTTTCTGTTCCACGTTTACATTTGTTTCAGACACAGCTAAATTTAGCGTCTGTCCATGTTTGTGTCTCATACCCTCGCTGCTCGTTTGTCCATGAGGCATGCAAGCACAGATAATGTTGAGTCTCAGTTTAATTCTACCCAACAGTCCCTCTGTGGGTGTGTGTGTGCGTGGACTGTCTCCGCTCATCTCTGCTGTGTGCAAACCTGGCCTTTGCTCTGTGCTACAGGCTTGTTTTTGTTTTGTAGTGGAAATGTCATACAAGCATATTATATTCAAATTTAAGTCCACTCCATGTGCATGAGATGTTTCATTATTTTGGCACACACTTCTGTTGTCAGGATTTTTGATTCAGATATTTGTGTGGATAACACTTCCCTGCTCTTTCGAGAGCACTGTGATTAATCCTTTGTTTCTCTTTTCCTCTCCCCATTTCTCTGTCTGTGATCCTCCAACACTCCCTGTCAATAATTCTGATTTCATCGCCCCCAGGCTCACCCAGCTCTCAAAGCCTTTATGTGTGGCTCTCTGAGTGGCACCTGCTCTACGCTGCTCTTCCAGCCTTTGGATCTGATCAAGACACGGCTGCAGACCCTGCAGAACGATGCCAAGCCGGGGTGTGTGTGCACACGTAACACACAGACACATCTCGTTTATGAACATGCAAACACAGACACACACTACACATTTTGCCTGCATGCTGTCAGACGCATGTACATCAGCATGCCCCTGGCGTTATCTTTTCTCTCTCTTGACTTTGACTCATGCACACCATGATAAGCAGCATGCACTCCAGGCACAACATGACACGCACACACAGCATGGCAGGACAACATTAGCAGGCACTGCCAGCCTGAATTTGATGTTATGACCCATATAGGTCAATTAGTCACACCCAGCACCATGTAATCATAATGTCAGGCTGCTATGTTGCAGTTACCTCCGTTCCACAGGTGGAGGCCGTGCCTTAGTACCAGTTTCCAGAGGATCAATTCTGTAGTAATTGTTGTTCTATAGTTTATTGTTCCGACAATGAACATCCAAACACTTTTATGTTTTGTCTCTTGTCAGTGTCTTCTTGTAAGTCTCTTTTAAAAACGCACTTTTATCAGAAAGCGTTTCCCAATTTCTATCTGAGCTGCCTGTTTATTTTATTGTTGTTATTCTCGTTTTATCTTCTCTTATATCCCACGTAATTGTTATATTTTAGTTTGATTTATATTATATTTTATAATATTGTCTGGATGTTTTGCACATTTCGAATGTGTCTATAACCATTCCTCAATTTCATCTTACAGTGCACCGAAGGTGGGGATGTTTACAGTTCTTGTAAATGTTATTAGGAAAGAGAATTTCTTCAGTCTGTGGAAGGGAGTTTCACCTGTGAGTAACAGTCCTCGTTTATTGTTTTCAACATTTGCAATAATTTCTGCCGCTATGTATCCTGTTGTTTGATGTATGTATGTAGTAAGTAGTCAGCGGGGGTATTTGTTCTCCAGCACCAATCCATGTGCACTCTTTGTCTTTCAGCTTACATTAGCGTTACCTCTCCGTCTTGCTCCAAGAACCAGACAGCCAAATTAGGTCTTCTTTTCCACATAGCTGTTATTCTGTCAGAATGCTAAATTTATAGAAACGACATCCGTCTAGCACAATGTCTTGACATAGACTAGGCCATCTCTTTGGTTTTACTTATTAAGTCAAACAAAACACAACAGAAATTAAAAGGATGACACGCTCGTGGTATTTCATCTTTATAGTATGAATGTATGCTCATCATGTTTTTACCACTGTCAAAATATCAAATACTTTACATGCTTGGTTGGCATTTATCATAGCTAGCACCACCTTTAGCACCATCACATTAGGCACAAAACAGAATATGAGGAATGTTTAACACTTACGTCTCTCTCCGGCAGTCATTTGTGCGCTGCATCCCGGGGGTGGGCATCTACTTCAGCACCTTCTACTCCCTGAAGCAGCACTATTTCCTGGACCGGGCACCCAATGCTGGCGAGGCTGTTCTGCTCGGAGCGGGTGCGAGAACAGTGGCTGGTGTCTGCATGCTGCCATTCACAGTCATCAAGACTCGCTTTGAGGTGAGAAACAGTTTCTTTACATATTGAGAGACTTCAGAGTCCATCTGACCTGAGACATGCTAACTGATTAGTGGAATTCAACCACAGTCAACTTTCAGTTAATGTTAATAATAATAATAATAATCCTTATTTGTAGAGCACTTTTCAAAAACAAGTTACAAAGTGCTTTAACAAGTGTAAAGAATAATACAAAAAAAAGATAAGAGCATGAAAATTTAATATAAAATTAGTAAAATACAATAAAATAAAAGGGATAAAATAAAGTCAAATAAGATCGGGAAAAGCTCTCCTATAAAAGTATGTTTTAAGAAGGGACTTAAAAGAGTTCACTGACTCAGCCGACCTGATTTATTAACTTATTAACACGGCCGTTTAATTCAAGGCAGTCAATGAGGCAGTTTTAGGCAGCGATTTAATGTTTTGTCTTTGTTCTCTATATTTGAACTTGTTTCCAGTATTTTGTTCTGAGCCAGGTGGGATTTCTCCCTGGAATAACAGACCTTTAGCACATGACGCATGTTTACAATAGGTGACAAATCGAAATGTATTGATCCAACAAGAGCACTTTAAGAACACTCGGGCCACATGAAAGGAAGCTGCTTTTTGTGGGCTATTGACTCATCAGTATGTTGGCGGAGTCTTACTAAATGCTTTCAGGCACTCCTCATCAACTCATGTTTTCGTAGTAATAAGTAGGACTTGTGTATGTGGAGCCTTCTTTTAGTCAAGACCTAGAAAAAATGTAGCATTCTCGTGATAGCAGTTGTAAAATACAAGTGATAAGATGTTGCTATTTTTCTGGTTCTGGCACAGGAAGATAACTTCCACGTTTTTAAATCTCGCTTGCACGTCTCTGATTGGTCGGTTGTTTTTCCAACTCGGGGAAACAGACGTCAATGAGCCAGACCTTGGGAAAAAAAAGTCTGGAAACAGGCAAATAAAGGGCTACTTTGTGCTGCAGTAGACAAGACGTGGATATTTGTGTTTGCATGAATTTCAACAAAGAGTGAGAATGTTCTTCCATGACACGTCCACCTTCATCTTATTTATTCATCAGGCGTTCGAGTTCTAGGGCTCATTGGCTGACATGTCACTGCATGTGAAAGATGGTGACTAATGAATGAACCATTAAGTATCTGTGGGTAACAGACATTGTACCCAATGAATGGCGATTCTACCTAGCATTCTTAAATGAATAACCATAAACTACAACTAGTATTCTCCATCAGCAGACTGCAACACTGAAAAAGCTGTATCTAACTGTGTTTCCAGGCAATTAAGTACTTCCTCCCAGTGATATAAAAGCAACAGTGTAAATAAACATATTCCATACAAATTTAATGTGTTCGCATGTTGTTTCAGAGTGGCTGTTACAACTATGTGAGTGTGGCCGGGGCTCTGAGGAGTATGTATGAGACAGAGGGAATCAGGGCTCTGTTCTCGGGGCTGACTGCCACGCTGCTCCGAGACGCTCCGTTCTCCGGCATCTACGTCATGTTCTACAGCCAGGCTAAGAAGGGGCTGCCTCAAGGTGAGAGCCACACTGCATCAGAAAATCAAAATGGAGGTCATTTAAAATGTGTTGTTCTTGTACTACAGAAAATCAATCCTGGATAGTGAATGCTTTTAAATCTTTGGCCTCCAAAAGGGGCTTGAAGTGCTTTTTGTTTTGTTTTTTTAAACCTTAAAAGTTTTTTCATGACCAGCTACACAAAGCGTGTTTCCATCCACCTTTTTATTACACATATTTAATGAACCAATAACGAACCTGAGTGGAAACACCAGAAATTTAAAGGGGGAAACAAATATCGCAAAAATGCTTGGCTGAGGTGGAAAAGCTTGTCACTTTTGCTCATCAGTTGCCGATGAAACAGATGAAAAGAAAGGGCTGTGTGGACCAATAAGGAGAATGTAATGTTCCTGAAATACATGACATAAATACAAATATTTCCAGCAATTGATCCACAGTATTTCAGTGTTTGAGGTTCAACTTTTAATCACATCATCTTGTTCAGTCTCTTCCCCTGCAGTCGTTTAATGGTATCCGACTGGAAAATTAGCATCACCTCTGTTTGTTTTTTCTCAATGTGTCAAAACTTTACTACTGTTTACTGCTCTAGGCAAAATGAATGCAAAACGGATACATTGGCTAATAATATTTTATTTTAAATGCGTCACTCAGCATACGTTGCCCGATATGTAACAAAAACTGGCGTACAGAAAGACGAAAGAAATTTGTTTTGCTCACTCTTGGTCACGATGTGAATATAAGTGTTGAATACTCTTGAATATTGGTATCCGTCTCAAAAGTTCAGCATTGTTCAGGCTGTAACACACACAACGCACATCAGTACATGGTTATACTCTCCTGATACCTGGCTTCTCTTCTCTTAGAGGTGGCTTCGTCAGCGTACATCCCGCTGGTGAACTTCAGCTGTGGGGTGGTGGCAGGCGTCATGGCGTCGCTGGTCACACAGCCTGCAGACGTGGTGAAGACACACATTCAAGTCAGGCCGTCCCATTGGAGCACGGCAGATGCTGTTCGCTACATTTACATGGTGTGTGCTCATTTAATCCCAGCTGTCAGTTTTTTTTAGGGAGAAGCAGGATTAGCAGTACTCATTCTTGTTTGCATGAAGGGCTTGCCCACTACATCATTGACGTATCGTACTGAACTTTCCTGCTCTGTCCTCTCCCTCAGGAGCATGGCATGGGCGGGTTTTTCCGCGGGGCTGTACCCAGGTCTCTGCGACGCACTCTGATGGCTGCTATGGCTTGGACTGTGTATGAGCAGCTGATGGCTCGGATGGGTCTCAAATCCTGAAGAGTCGAACAGTGTTGAGCTACAGTGAAACAGGATGAAAAATGAGGGGATAATGATACCCAGTATTTTCTCACTGAAAGCCCCATGAAAGAAGGAAACGGAGCTGAGGAGCTTATAGAGACAGTGATCAAGCACTACCAAGATTTTGAAAAGAGGAACCAGGTGGATAAATGTTTGAGTAAGAATGCTTGAGTGTGTGCGTGTTTATGTTGATATTTAAGTATGAAAATGTGCCTGTTTTTGTCTGTAGGTGTGTTTCGAGATATTGATGTTATACCTGACACACTCTTAAATCAGTCTTGGACTGAAGCTACACTCCCTGCTGTGAAGTGAACTTATTCCTCCTCTAACTATTTATGTTTGGACAGCCTGAGATATGGCTGCCACTAATAAAAGCTAACTGTGCTGTGCAGCATTGTTGCCCTTGACAAGGTATTTTAAAATGCTGTCAAGACAAACGGGACACTCAGCAAGCTGGTGTAGTCAACATCGCTGAGGTTGCAAAAACCAAAGCACTGCAGAGAGAGAAGCTCAGGCTTCCTTCGTGTTTATGAAACTTGTACAAGATAGGGCAATGTTTCTTACTTGCCAATTAACAAGCAGACTTTTAGCAGATATTTAATTTGTTTCAGGCTCAGACAATCACACTGCTGCATTATGGGAAGCAAATCACAATAAAGCCTTTGTTGCCATACTCCTCAAAACTATGCTGATTTAAAGTTTATTTACAACTGTGGTGCATTTTTGACTCAGCGGAGTGGAACCAGATGTGCTTTTTTAAAGAAGTAATGATAATCAGTCACATCTGAGCTTGAGAACCATGGACCTGGAAGATGTACAGACCGGTGATGGCATCTCAGTCATCAGGATTTTGTGGTTTTGTAATTGAAATGCTTGATTTTGAAAACACAAACGGCAATGCGCTTAGCACTGCTTCCTGTGTTTAAGTCAGCACTTTTAAAATTTGACTTTTTTCCGAAACATTGACACTCATTTTTCAGCCTCTTCCTAGCGTAAATATTTGAGAAAACACAGAATTATTGGTTGAATCAAATACATTTACGTTGCTTGTACAGTGTGCCCTTTGCTGTGACTATTATTTATTATTGTGGATATAAAAAATAGGTGATATATAGAAAATGATTATACAGGAGTTTATAGAAATAAATGCCAAACGGAAGATCTCATTAGTGGAGGAGACTAAAAAAATTTAATATGACAAAATAAATCATTACGCACCAAAAGTGTAACGCACTAAAGATTTTTGGAAGTTGGTAACATGGCAGAAAGACATCCAGTGTGATCTGTGATATAAGGGGGAAGGTTGTGTAGCAGAAAGAGAAATCTAATGACAGGAGTTGATGTCTAAATGCCTCTAAATGTTTGCTGTGTAACACAAACTGTGCCCTACGTGTGCCGTGAGTCACATCTGGAAGTTTTTCCTCGTCAGTTTATCTTCATCCTCGCACCACTCCTGTAGTCTTCATTGATCCTGTGTTGTGACTATATTGTATATGGTCATTGTGATTGTAGATATTTGGTCTGTGCCTGGTTTTTAACGTCAATAAATTGTCTTCTTAAAAAAAAAAAAAGTAATTTCAACTTTTTATATACTGGAAATTAAGACGAGTTTGACTTTGCTTTATTGTTGATTTTGCTTTATTTATAGATCACAATTAACAATAATCATCCACACCAACTACCGTATATTGGAGGTACAGCATCAACTGTTATTAACAAACTAGGGCATAAACATTGTCAGAGAGCCACCAGATATGACTGTTAGACAGCGAAAACCAGCCATTATAACCACAATATATTAAACATAATGTGTAGAAAGAAGCAAATCACCATTTTTTTCAAAAGACAGTGATAGAAAATATTTGTACAAAACACAAATTAAAAATACATTTTAAAGCATCCTGTAAAAAGATGTTAATGACTTTTTCACTGAGCATTTTAAAACAAATCTAACCTAGGGCAGGGCAATAAAACAATGATTATTATCGCAATATAATTTTCCTCCATAATATAATGACTGTTAATATATCGTCTATAAATATTTGGTTTAATTCATCTGAATCATGAACCAATTAACACTTAATTTTCTATTAAAATATTTATTTTGTTGAGGAAAGGGGACAGAAAAAAGATTTACAAATCTTATTTGCTGAGAAAGATTTTATTGTAATAGTTTTGAATGTTCAAACCTTATACCTTTCCAGTAAGAGTCAGATGACATGACTGAGAATTAATAACAGATGTAGTTGAGTTCCTCCTGGCAGTCCCGGTTCTCCCACACTCCCCCTCTGGTTAAAGCTCCACAGCGTGTCCATACTGGACACTGATGGTCCTGATCTCCTTGGGTCCAGGCCTGGTACAACATAGGGTCACCGTTCACCCACAGCCAGCTGCCCTCCAGGTAACGCAGGCCGATCCACACCCGCTCAGTGATGCGGTCTTTCTGGATCTCTTTCAGGGCCAGAAGGTGCTCGGTCTCAGAGAGCAGGCTGGTGAGGTCAGTGTGATTCTCCCTGCAGTGCTTCAGAGCCCCCTCCCAGGTCATCTTCATCTCCACCACGATCAGGTTAAAGCAGAAAAAGGGAAATTTATGTGTTGAGGCACTGTGCCATCCAGACCATTCACAGCCCTCCCAACAAACCATAGCATAGACATCATGTGTTATTGGGTTTGCCCGTATCCCACGGTACATTTGTTGCATTTCCTCCTCCTGACCACTTCCACTGTGTTACGAGTCCAATCTCTTTGTTGAATTTGATGTTGTTGTAGAGTCCGATCCAGAACACACCAGTAACTTTCCCAGATGTTGCATTTTTCAGTGTCTCTTCTTCCCATTGTGTAGTGATGGGGGCGAGATCTGTGTAAAAATCTCTGCAATACAGTTGAGCGTAAGGCCATATAGCGTCGATATCCACATATATGTGCTTTCCAAACTGTGCCGACATACTTAAAGTAAAGACCATTTTCAAAACCACAATCCTCATGGTGGTGAAGATTACCGATAGTTGTAAGGATGAGTACAAAGTGTGTTCTGTTCAAGGTGAAGCCTGCGTGTCAGTGTGGTCCCTCCTCTGTCACCTCCTTATATAAGTCAGTGACTACATCCAGCTGTGACTAATGTCATTGTTTGCATGCAAATGAAACTATGCAAAATGAAATCCTGATATCCAGCCGTCGCAGGTGGTTGAGACACCACGACCACCATGTGATTGCAACATCTTTGGTCAGAGGCCTTTGATATCAAGCCTCCTCTCTCCCTGTGTTTCTGTCTCAACTGTTACTATCATCAAAGACCAAATGAATTACCAAAACAATTACTAAAAACATTTAAAAATCTTACCAGGGCACAGGCATAGACAGCATGACAACACTTGATCATATAAACATGAACCCTCCTGATACACTATTGCTGAATGCATATATCTTCACTATTGCTGAGATCTGTAAAGCACTGAAAGATACACACCTGTAAAAGTCAACAGGACCTGATAACTTGGATCCTTGCCTGATGGCTGCTGAGCTTATTGCAGGGCGAATTACTTACATTTTTAACCTGAGCCTTGCCACAAATTGTATTCCCAAAGTATGGAAGGCAGCTTATGTTGTACCTCTATTGAAAGGTGGGGACCCCACAAATGTAGATAATTACTGACCCATTTCTAAACTATCTATGAAGCTAAAGTGTTGAAACATCGGTAAATGTCCAGTTAAAGCAGTTTTGAGTTTTAGTTGAAAATAACACCATAAACGGTCAATATATAGTTTTCCGCGGCCACTAGCGGTGCAGTTTTTAGATTGCAAACAGGTGTTTGCTCGTAGGCGGGCTCGAATTTATGAGAAGGCAAAATCCGACACACGAGGAGACAGCTTCACGCAACATGCTGGAAACTCAGATAAACTCACACAGCAATGTTACAGTAATATTTTTTATGCTTGTTACATGATAACGTTACTTTGACTGCATTTAGCCAACGTGATACATTGGTGTTAGCTCACCTGCCTGCTTTTCAGTAACCAACTTTATTTGGTGTTGCGCAGGATGGTAATATAGGTCCTGTTAGCTGGTGAAGTAACATGGACAGCTGTACAACTCTAGTATTTTGCACTGGAAACCTTAGCAGCTGCTGGGAGTTAGCCGTCAAGCTAATGTTCTCTAACTTGAGCCAACTAAAACACAACATCTATATATTTGACATGCTTTGCAGAACTGTAAGGTTACCTGTCCAATAGGATGAAAGCCAACTCTGTGTCGGTTTTGTCAGTTCCAAAGTGGAGGTCTCTCCGCGATTCAAGCCTTTCTGATGTTGATGTGTTTTCACCCGAAGTCGATCTGATTCTCGTTTGGCCTGATAGGCTTCAGCACATAAAACGTTGTTGTTGGTTTTATCCTTATGTAGAGTTTGTGCTGGAGCCTGTGTTGTGCCCGATGCCGGTTGTTTTTTGCGGACTCCATCTTGTTAGCTGTGGTGTTGTTGCTGTATGTACGGTGAAGAATCAATAGGCACAGAGACTCACATGCAGTCACAGCCAATGGATTTCCCTGAAAATCCAACCTGGGGTATTTTCATAGGATTAGGCATACTGCCCGTCAGATGTAACAGAAAAACCCGGAAAGTGTTTTATAATAATAGATAGCATCTCTC